GCTGGGGCCCAGCTGAACTCAACTCTCACAATAGAAGCAGAACTGCTCACAGGAAACGAAATCTCAAAAGTTGCTGAAAACAGTTGCAAAAAAGAAAATAACTGTAGGAAAAATAACGTATAAAAAAACCAGGAGCGATCTAAATGCAGTGGTACCTCAGTTCACGAATGCTTTTCTTTGCTAACAATTTGGTTAACAAACAGAAGCGTTTGGCAAAATTTTGTTTTTGTTTGCAGACTCTGTATGGGGTGATGAACACGAATGTGGCCATGTTTTCCAGAATCGTGCAACAAATTAAGTTATATGTACTGACAGAGCCCCTAAATATACCCAGGATAATTTTATATCTTGGAGTCTGAAGATTCACAAGGGATACAGGCAAAAAAGGAAGCCAGAGGGAACATCGCATGAGGAAAGGCTCTAAATGTACATGTTCCTAAAAGTATCATGCATTCAACATCCCAACTTCCATGGGATCTGTGAAATATATACATGAAATTTGAGGCATTTGGGAAAATGGCAACAGGATAATGCCATGAACTAGACCTGCTCTGGAACTGTAAATTCGGTGATAATTCTGTGCTTCAGGAAGAGTTCATCAAACTCACAGAAGGAGGATACCAAAATTCTACAAGCAGTAGACTGAAAGCATTAAGATGGCTGCGTGGTTAGGAAGCCCTTCGGTCCTGGTGGGAAAACAGGGAAGGGTTTACACAAACAATGGTTAAGGAACAACGGAAGCAAGAAAGAACCAAAATTAGAATCCAACTCAGGGGATGGCAACAGAAAATTCCTGGTTTAAAACATACAGGCATACTTCAAAGCAAGGGTCGTTCCGAGCCTGATACTCTCTTCTTTACAAACTTAAAACTGCTGCAATTAAATCATTCTGTGAATTATATTTTAAAGCTAAATATTCTTCTACAAATTGCCTAATTATTCCAGTTATTCTATTTAATGTAAAGTTGGGGTTTAATATTTATTCATTTATTCTAATAACCCACGTGAAGTATTAGAATCATAGAATATTGTAAAGGAGCACTTCGGTGACTCTCACTATTTTATATTTTTAAAAGCATTCAAATCAGGTTAATAGTGGAGAATAGTGGAAGTTCTATTTTAAAAACAAAATAATTATTTTAATTGTATATTCACATTAACAAAACAAGCATTTCATCTCTTGAACGGTTTTAACAACAAATTCCTGTATGTTTTGTAAACTATTTATTTAAAATTTCTTTTGTAAAAAAATTCTTTAAAGTAAACTTTATTTTTAGTTTTTTGAAACAGGGTCTATCTGGTTCAGACTGCTCTGGAACTCACTGTGTAGCCCAGACTGGGCTCGAACTCACAGCGATCCTCCTGCCTCAGCTTCCTGAGTGTTGGGATTACAGGCGTGTGCCACCACATCCAACAATAAACTTTATTTTAAAAATAAACCTATGTTCCCTATAGTTCCGGAGAGCTGCTACCCAAAGGTAACTTGTGTGAACTAGAAAAAGGGAGCCCTTGTTCCAGACACACTACTTCCCCGTGCTGGGAAACTGACAACAATTCCACTCAGTGGATGTGAGGAAAGAGCACCTATGGGTCGCTGGGCCGAGAAGTGACCAGTTGCGTGTGGCCGCCATGATTCTGTCTTCACACCCGATGAAGGTGCTCACACCATGTGCTCCAGGGGGACTGTGCCTGCCATCTTCCAACGATGAGAAAGATCCTCAGCTCTGTCTGTGACCCAAAGGTGTGAGCTACCATCAAAGCCAGGGGTCATGATCTTACGATCATGCTGGTGTGAACAAATGGAAAAACTGCCTCGCGGCTATTTCACAAGGGAAGGCACAGCCCTTGCAAAGGAAGTAGCCAAATAGGGCTAGATCTTGATGACTGCTACATCATGAAGACCTATAATACAAAGTCCCCCATATGTAACTGAAAAAAATTTTAACTGTAAATTTGACCGATCATGCTTAGGAGCCACAATGGAGCCACACACAGGCAACCTCAAGTCTAGGCCAACAGAGATTCCTTGGTCAACCACCTGCCCACCAAGTTTCTACCCAGTGTAGTGGTCTGGCCACACGAGTAACTTCGTCGTATGGAGTTACAGCGCAGGCAGAGGGAGCAACAGTACCCAAGCCAAGTGACACACGCTGAGGAAAACTACCCATGCCCAGGAATAATGAAAGAACTAAGAGTGTAAGAAAACTGTCACTGATTGTGGAGAAGTCACATCAAGATTACCCAAATCGACATGGAACGTGGCCTTGCCTGGATGCGCGCTTGTTGGTCTTTTGCACCCTGGGGGATGAGTGCAGTTTCTAAGTGGAGAATATTTGTCCACCTCTTTTCAGCCACCATCACAAGGGACGGGGACTCTGCAGTTCCAGCAGGCAGGGAGACAGTTACGTTTACCACATGGACTGCAGCGACTACTACCACTCCGGGGACAGAGCCAAAATGTGGGGGACCCTGTTTCATTCAGAGATAGATCTCAAGATTTTTTTATTCTGGAGAGAAATACCAAACTCTCAAACTTATTCTCACAGAAAGACTCAAGATACAAAGATCTCAAAATCTGGGATCTAAGTAGATTGCCAAATTAAAATAACAATAATACTTTTTTCTTTTCCTTTCATGACACAGTGTGAACTCAAACATATAAACACGCACACGGACTGACAGAAAACAGTTCAATTCAGCTGCTGTGTAAATAAAATTCTTTACATTTTCTATGATTTTTCCTCTGTTATTTTAAGATAGCAAGCCAAAACCTAGAAAAGACCAAATAATATGAAAAAGGAGTACACTTTTTCATATGTGAATTAGTATTCATGTCCTACAAATACTTAACAAATTTAAAACCTCAATTCCATGGTGAAGCATTTTGTCGGTTTGCCTGCCCCAGACACTAATTGGTCTTACTTTGAACAAGTGTGTATAGAGCTGGAAAATTTGAAATTGCTTGCTTAGAGCATGCCATAGCTTCTTCTAATACTCATAAAAATATTCAGAAAACTCACTTTCTTTAAGACAGTTGCCCTATACAGTAGAACCAGATTCATGTGAGTAGAAGAGGAAATGACAAAGAAGGTAGAGTGTAGAGGGCCGGCTACATAAAAACCACTTGCAAAGGGGAAAGGCAGAAACAGGGCTCAACCAGGCAACAGGAAATTGGTTCCAGGTAGTGCAGCCGATGCCAGTACTGCCAGAGGCAAGCCCACTTAGAAGCAGAAGAGGTCCAAACAGGATTTAACCAATGCCCCAAAAGGGCACCACCAGAATATGCTTTTGGTCATGAAAAGAAGATCTAAGAGGTCTCCAGACCACAGGAATGGGTAGACGGAGATATACTCTGGCATGTGGTATTTCCTAAGCGTCTCCGATGTACCGGGAATCCCATTTAATCACTGAGACAAGTTGTTTTTCCCGCTTCATAGACAGGAATACCAAGGATGGAAAGTTCACTTACATTCCCACTAAATAAACACATGGCAGACAGGCAGAAGAGGTGGGATTCAAAAGCAGGTATTTCTTATTCCAGCTTTTAATAACACTTTGCTCTACTCTCGTTCATGAAAGTAATCAGGGGACAGAGATGTACTGAAGAATCATGGAGGGCTCATTGCAGTACTCCACATAAACGATTTCCAAAATATCTGACCAAGACCCACAGTAAGTAATGTGCTTTATACCAAGACCAATACACAGCCTGTATCTTCCCCATGCATAAACAGCCAAAACTCCCTTAGAATTTACCCTATGTGTGATACACACTGATACTTTTCCAATTTGTTTTTCTAGTTTATGTTATTCCATTTCATTATTTTTAAAATGCTGGCCAGGACTAACTGAAATTATTTCATGCTCACCAGCAGAACAAAATCCCTTGACTGAAAACTGGTTCCATGAGAGAGGTTTCTGACACCAGGGATAATATTAGGCTTGTCACACTGCCACCAATGATCCCCCACTGGAGTCTTTATCCAAGGAAAGAAAGGGGAGAGAGGTAGTAAAGGGGGAGAGATAAGGGATGGACAGATCCGTCAATCACAGGTCACACACTCCCAAGAGCAGTGAAATTAACATGCGCCAAAGCAAAATGGCGCCACCCCAGTGACAAAGAATGTAGCTGGAAAAGGCAGGTGGGGAAGGCCATGATGTCTTTAATTCATGTTCCTTTGAGTTGGCAGGAAGACGCCCCTTCCCAACATGGACTCTTTGGTTAAATGAATACCTGTGTGTGGCTTTCTGGCAAATGTTAAGGCTAAAAAGGCAAATGCCTAGTACTCAATTTACATAATACATTAACAAAAGACCAGGCCCCGTACTGACAACGTGGTCAAGTCAACCACTGAGTGACGCTACTGTATTTTGATTTGACTCATTGAAGAGCCTGGACAGCGTTGTCTACGGCAGCATGCAAGGTTTTGCTTCTATATGCAGAATCAACACATGAGCTCTGAGCATTAATCAAAAGAAGCGCTTCAGAAGAGAAAGCAAGGCTACGGAGTCGTGACTGTACTAACTTCCAAAGAGGGTCAACAAAAACTGTAGTCACCATGGGAATTTCGGAGGTGGGGAAAAAAGGGATCTCTTCAGAGAAGTGACTGGTGTTATTTATTAATCTAGCTGCAAGTAATGTCAAATTTTAAAGTTGCTTGAAAGAAACTCACTGTTTTTACATCAGCCTCTTAATATGCTGAAGGAACTGGTTCAAAACGCTTCAGCAGCGAAGTAACTTAGATGATAAATGTGTTCCTCAAGCTGTGCACCAGTCAAGTAGCAATAAAATCAGAATAATTCATGCAAAAATTTTCATTATGTTTCTAAACATACTTATTTACATTTTAAATCACACATTAGACAATATGAAATATCTTTCATTTAGACAGGTGTGAACTAGAAAACAGATGCATTCGTTAAACACGGAACAATTTGGCGAATTAAAAAAATACTCAGAAAACTCTCTGGCTGAAGAACTTCAGCCACTGTTAACTTACTTGAAAAAATATGGCCATGGCTCCAATTATTCTGTTCTCAGAAATTGCAGTTTGAAAGCTGTCAAAGTCATCTGGATTGTAAAAGAAAATCTGCATCTGTAAAACAACAATTGAAAAATGTATTAGGTAATTTTCAGCCTATACAAAAGCAGAAAATAGTACGACGCACACATATTCCACTAAAACCTTGCCATTTCCTCATCTATCTATGCTTTTCCTTTGCTAAAGTATTTCGGAGCAGAGCCCAGATCATGTGTCCTTTTCCTCCTATACTTCAGAATGCATCACGTCTGTAACCAAAGTACATTCCTGCCACCCCACAATAAATAACACAAGTACGTCCTTATTACTTACTACCCAGGGCATGTGAAAGTGTCCTATTAAGAAGCAAGATTTTTGGGGGCCAGGAATTTAGCTCAGTGGTTCCGCTGCTGGCTTTGCATGCACAAGGTCCTGAGTTAAATTGCCGGTACCCCCTCCAAAAAGAAGCAAGATTTTAATGGTATTAAACAACTTGGAGCACAATACTAAGCTGATGGGATCCAGTCCCCGTGTTAAAGTGGGCACAACCTGCATGCCAGTGTTGAGAAATAGAAGGAATATATCAGTAGCTTTGAGAAATGGTCCAAAGGGTCTATTCAGTAAATTCACCAAGAAATGTAATGGTAATGATTCTAATAACACTTTACATTTTACAGCTTGCAAAGAGCCACCCTATACATTATTTCACTTAATGCTTTTACTGAGTCCTGTGAAGATAGGACAGGGATTATTACCCTCAGCGAGAGGCGAGGAAGTGGTGCTCCGGGAAATCGACATTAAATTGCCTAGCGTTAAACATCAGAGAGTCTAAATTCCAGGTGCTCTGATACCAAACTAAGACACCTCCTCTTACACAAGAGTGTCTAGAGTTTCTTATCAATAATCAAAACACACACACCCTCTACTCGGTTACACTGAGCCTCATGTCTGTTTTTGTTCCAGTACCATGACGTTTTTATTCTTCTTGCTTTGTAACAGAGCTTGAGGTCAGGTAATATGATGACTTCTGCTGTGCTCTTGTTGCCCAAAACTGATTATCCTATTCTGGGTCTCTTCATGTTCCATACTAATTTCAGGATTGTTTTTCTGTGTAACTGTGAAGTATTCCGTTGGTATTTTTCATGGGGACTACACTGAATCTGTACAACAGTTTGGGTGGTATGGCCATTTTGACAATACTGAAGGGAATACCCTTCCTTGTCTGAGGTCCTTTTCCATCATCTCCTTTTTCTGAATACTGTAGTTTTCTTTGTAGAGGTCTTTTACTTCCTCGGTTAGACTAATACCTAGGTATTTCATTTTTCTTAAGGCTACCATGAATGGTATTGATTTTATAACTTCCTTCTAGTTTAGTACACTGCTGGTGTAGACAAACCTCAATGAATGTAAATATTATATCATAAACACAGATAAGATTGACAAGATCAATAAGAATGCAAATGGAGAAAGGAAATTTGGAAGAGGGATGTGGAAGCACATTTAAAAAACAGAACCAAGCTGTTATTACGTACATGACACCAAGATGATTGCAAACTGCACCCACTGCAAATGCACACCAATAAAAATAAACCTCCAACATGGCGAGCTCAAGCTAAAATTACTATGTGATTTGAATGCACGAACACACTGCCTTGGTATTGTAAAAGATTCAGAGAACAACACCGGACCACAGAGCTCCCCTGAGAGCCACCCACAGGGGAGACCACAGATCTGGGCTCCTGAGGCAGCTTCTTCTCGCGAGGCCTCAGGCAAGCTATTTTCTGCACCTTAGAAGCCAAGCTAGGGCCGGGAATTCAGCTCAGTGGTTTAGCCGCCCACCTTGCAACCACAAGGTCCTGAGTTTGAACCCCAGTACCAAAAAAAAAAGAAGCCAAGCTCTTCCACAGGGTGGGGGCTGTGAAGGGCAAACACATGCTGAGCCTCTCTGTCATCAGGGTATGCTGAGGCTGCCTCGGGCAGACTTCTTAGCACTTGAGTCTTCCAGAAGGAGCCCCCCTGCGCCAAGCCGATCTCCATCGCTGGACCTCTTCCATTTTGCTACTTCCCAAATGACATAATGGGAGTCTCTGTAGCACACCGAGCCGAGCCACCACATCCGGGGAGACGTTTGAAGATCTGACACTGAACAGTAAACTATCATGGGCAAAGTGGAGTGGGTGCCTAGGGCAGAAAAGTCAGAAGACTGAGAAGCCAAGGGTGTGAAGAGTCCTCACGGCTCAGTCAGGAAAAAAAAAAAAGATGCCAAAGCACCACTACCTTTCTTCCCCAGAGCGTGGTATCAGGTAACCAAAGCCCATCACTCCTAGGGAAATTCAGACAACTAAGTGGAGGGGAAAGCGTGGCTAGATTTTATTTCTGAAAGCAATTTTTAAGACTGTGAATTCCCACCGATCCTGACAGTTTCTTACAAATTATTACCTTTAGGTTTGGACAGTTTTAGACATCATGAATTTACACTGAGAAGAAGCCACGCCCGCCATGAGAGGCAGATCAAAACAGTCGAATTCAGGTCGAACTGCTTCATGTACAATGCTACTAGCCCAGGAGAGAAACTCCACACAAGTATAGTCAGAAAATTATACTTCGTTTTCCTTTTAAATCCCAGGCCCACAAATTAAGTAGGTTCACAAAAGGCTTTGATACCTCGGCAGGGTGCAGGGCCAGCACTGTCTGACACATCACCTGAACAGGGTGGATACGAAACACTGGGAGACCTCTTCAAGGGCGTTTGCACTTACACCCGGGGAAGGAAATGGGTCGAGGCTCCACCCACCTGGGTAGTAAGACATCTCACAGAGGGAGCAGTAGCCCAAGTCGGAAGTGTCAGTTTTCCTCGATATTTCTTTCCCGTTGTGGTCTGCTGCATTACGGTAACATCTGAAGCTGTCTCGAGAGGAAGTAGGCAGAGGTGGTTCTGCTGATTGGAACGAACTCTAGCTTCTTTTGCTACTGAGGAGACACATGTGGACTCAGGCTGGAAACCTACCTTGGAAAGGCATTGTCGGCAGGGGCGAGGTGCAGCCCCCAGCACCTGCAGTAGGCACCTACTGTCTGTATTCATTCTCAGAAGCCAGGCCCCGGGCTTCCTTCACTATCCCTGGAGCGAGCGTTGTAGTAAGGAGGACCTAAGTGACATAACCACCCTCTGCTAGAGCAAAGAGACCCACTGGGGATGCTCCGTACCCTTTACCTGTCCCGCCCATTACTGATACTCTGTCCCATGTGCCCTCTCACACTCCCGTGTGTGCAAATACATAGGCACACACAGCACTTTTCTACGTGCCCCAGCGGCCGAGAGCAAGCGGGAGAGACCATGCCCCTGCATCACTACATGCCCGTGTGATCGCCAAGGTAAGGACATTCTTTTGACAATGACCATACAATCACGAATCAGCAGATCTCACAGTGAAACAATGCTACAGCCTCACTCACCGGCCGTTTTGACAGTTTGGCAGGTGCCCAAATAGCGCCATCACAGATCGTGGCTCGGTTCTGAGTCTCAGACCCAATCTAGCCCAAAGTCCCCTGGAACGGCACCTCGGCCCTTGTTCTTTCTGCTGCCGTGTGAAGTGCAGAGGATGGATGTGAGAGGAGCTGACTCTCACGGTTAGAGTCAGGGCCTACATGGAGAGCAGGCAGGCCAGTGGGCCGCTGTGTCCTCAGTGTGTTCCTCAGGAAGCACGGGCTGGGGTTTATCCCAAGATTGAAGGTGTCCACTCTGACCACGTGGTCACGGTGTCCTCTGAGAACCTTCGCAACGATAAAGCTCCCAATTTTCCCTTTGAAATTAAAAAGCAGTTTGCAAGGAGATGTTCGGAGTCATGCCCTGGTCCTAACCGAACATCACCACAGGTCCTTACCCCTACTGGTGACTTTCCAACACCTCTGGTACTTCTGTGTTCGTCAATGCCATTCTCAGGCCGGGAAAAACTTCCCATTTGCCAGTGTATTTTTATGTTCATTATTTATGTCTATACAAACTTATCTACCTTTTAAAAAATCTTATTCCATCCCTTATTCCATTCATTACTAATGTCATTTATTTGGCTGATCAAACTGCCCCAGATTTGGCTAGCAGGACACCCTTCTAAAGGACTCCGCTGTCACTCTGCCATGTCCCCACCACATTTTATTTTTAAGCACTTCCTTTCTAACAGACACAGAGACTTTGAGCAACGGCTAAGAGGGCATTTTCTCGAAGGTGACCTTGCACACTCTAATGTTACAGCTGCGTGTCTTGGTCAGGGCTGAGGTTGCTGTGATAACAGGTAAAGAAAAGATGATGCTGGCACCACAGTGGAAAATCCTCAAGCCCCGGCAGATTTAGAAAGCGCCACATTTTTATTTGCTCTGCCCACGTCTAGCTCTCCCACATGTTCCCCACATACAGCCTAAGAAGTCAGCACGAGTGAAGTGAGGAACCGGCACACAGGTCAGAGGAGAGGCAAGCGACTGAACGATCCAGCAGCACTGCAGGGTGCTGGTGTGAAGTTTTAACATGAAGACGATGCAGGCCGATGCCGAAGGAAAGAATGCTTGGAGGTGGATGAGACACACGAAGGATGATGGAAATGCAACACTAGAATTAAAAATCACATAAGAGGTGCAGACGGCAGCAGGAAGCGGTGAAGCGCACTTATCGAATCACACGAGGGTACTTGCATTGACCCGTTCCAGGCCAGCTGGAAAGTGATGTCTTCAACAACGCACAGTCGCCTGGGAATAAAAATGAGCAGTGCAGGCAAAGTAAATATCCAAACACGGCTGATGGTCCGCAAGTCCCACATTTGGATGATTTGCACCGGTTGAGGTCAGAACTGAGGTTTTATAAAGTCAACTCTTCACCAATGTGATTTTTCAATCATGCTGCACCTTAATTGTTATTAAGCTAGGCTGTACGTGAGCATCACACTGCAGTCAACCTATCAGACAGAAGGACCGACGCAGGCAGGCTGGAGACTGCCCCGGTCCCCGGTCCGAGACTGTGTTCTCTCTCCATTTACTCCTGGAACCAAAGAAGTAACCAGTGGCTCTGAGTGGCCCGAAGGGAGCAC